GTTTGTAGTACCTTTGAAAATACAAGTGATATTGTAAGAGGAGCTCAAGTTGCTTTTGCTGAAAAGCACTGACTCCTTACTTGAGCCCACAAATCAACTAAAAACAGGGAAAGCTTGGCATCTTTGTCTCCATTTTGTATCTGACTTTACAATCACCTTGGATTCCAAAAAGGCAAAACTGGTAATATCTTTATGACAATGAACTGGAGCCACCTGGAGCTGCCACCCTCCCAGTGAGGATAATTATCCCAAGAATCCTCTCAAACAGGAACCAGATGACTCCCTGTAGGTGACTTCCAAAACTGGACCAGACCATCTGCCTGACCAAGATTGCAGGGCCCACCAGTCATGAGACCAACCAGAGCACATCTATGACTGGACTGTTTAACTATGCATACTTTTGACCCCTGCCCCCAGTTCTTTGTCTACTTAAACCTATAGTTCATGTCTGTACCCTGAAGATGGCTGAGGATGAGCTGTCACTTACTCTGCCTCTTCCCACAGTGTGTCCCAAGCTGCGTAATAAACCTCCTTTCTCTGCTTTCACCAGGCCTCTTTATTTGGCGTTTAGGGGTGGGTGGCTGGGCCTGGCATATGGAATCTCAGGAGTTTGGGCCTTGGGTTTCAACACTTTGTACCTGTTTATTTCTACAGAGACATGAAAAGCAGCAAAGCATTGTTCTCAGTGCCTCTGCCTTCCTGTCCTTTGCTCCTGTCTCAGGCTTTCCTACTGTTATGCAGACACTGATGTATTAGACACTAATGCTTCAGTCTCCAAAACATTTCAACCCCATTTCATGTATACTGATTACAGTTATCAGTCAAAACTTCTGTTACCCGACTGTTGTATCTTGGGCACCCACACTAATATGTCAATCAGTCCTTCCTTCCCCTTCCCAGGCCACTAGTCTTTTACTGGTTTCTCCCACATACATCCTAAATGACACAAAGTCAACTGATATCTCTATGCAATCAATTAAACTCAGCATTCCCGGATAGAAATCACCCCCTTCCTCTCCATGCCAAAATGATTATTCACAGTTCTAAGCAAAATATTTCATAATCTAATAAAACTCCTAAGGGTGTTTCAATTACAGTTTTCTCAATATATTTAGTAAATAAACTCAGCAATGTTTGGATAAGCCAAAATAGGTTTGCTTAGCTCTGGAGTAAATCAAAATCTGTTTATATTACTGATCTAAATTTCTGGCTTTATTAAAACATCAGGAATACAAGTTTGTATTAAGTGATCAGAAGTTAACTTCAGTGGATTTCATCAAGGCATAATGGCAGAAATATTAATAATTATGTTTGCAATTAATCTATAAGGTATAGTAAGCTAATAAACATATCTAACTATAGTAAACTAAAATTCATAGGGCAACAATAGTGTTTTGGGAGAAAATACTAAGGAAAATAAATTGATACATAGAAAAAGCCATGGTTATTTTTGACACCTTCACAGTTTGCATTATCAAGGGTATACATTATGGGTTGCAATACACAAGTGCATGGAAGCAACCTAAGAATCTCTCTGTATAGCAATCTTTACCCCAAACTAGCAAAAACGCTATGTCTTTCTTATTATCTCTTATGATTTCTCTTCAACAAAATTGGAGAACAAGTTCTGCTTGGAAGCAGGGAGTTGTGGAGGAAGGGGCACAAATAATGTATACAAATGTAAGTAATGCAAAAAGATAAAATAAAAGGAGAAAAAAACTTTAAAAAAGAGTACACATTAAAAAGAATACCCATTTGAATAAAATATGCTAAGGGTACCTGATAGAACAATAGTGTCACCATTTTGTGAATCAGCCAAAACGGCAGCCCCGCCCTTAAACAAATTCCCGCGCTCTAAGACAGCCCCACCCCTACCAGAGACGACTGCACCTGTACTAACTTCCTTACCCTCCCCCTTCTATAAAAGCCACTGCTCGCCCAGACTTGGGGCTGTGCCATCTTTTCCCTGGCCAGCCTGGCAGTCTGGGCCTGCCATTAAACCTTGCTCTATGGACGTGAGTTTTCTCGTGAGCTTTCTTTGAGAGCGCGTTTTTCCTAACAGTACCTTAACAGATACATAAAAATTAAAGACTAATGAACTCTGCTGTAGAAATAAGCACAATACCTCATTTAACATTAGGGGTTCCAAGTCTTTAAAGTTTTTACCTGTCCCCTTTCTTGTAACACATTACTCTTCTTATTTAACATGCTAAGCTAAAAAATAATTCTGTTGACTTTTAAGCTTATTAACGGCTCTAGACATAACTAACTCCAATTAATACTCACTGTGCAATGACTTTATGAATGGCTCCTGAAAGGCCCCACTATGCTGGCAGACTTACCAGCCCAGCTTGATTTCAAGACCGGGGCTGGTACCTGAGCTGTGTTGCAATGCAGCTCAGAGAAAGCAGAACCCTGAGGGGTCTTTCCAGGGCGGTGACACCTTGTCATTACAATGGCTCTGAGGTGGCCAGGGGCACTCCTGAATGGTTGGAAAACGCCCACTTCTGAGGTCACTTCCCCAGGTGTCTTGGATGCCTGCTCTCAATCTCCCAGCCCCCATCTTGCACCCCTGAGCAAACACAATCCATGGGTCCCCTGGCTCCTCTGCACGAGCCTCCCGTCACCTGCTCCCCCCGCCCAGGCTCTGCGCGGGTCCCGCGCCTTGGTGGCTGGGGCGACAGGGACAGCCGCTGGCTCACCTGCTCCTCTGTTTCTGCGCAGCCCTGGGGAGCAGAGGTGGGAATCCCGCACCCGGGGGTCCTTTCTAGACCCTTGCCGGAGGACACAGCTCTTTCAGGACCGCCCCTGAAGTTGGCGAAGAAGGGGCCTCAGTGACCAGGGCTCAACCCAAGACTTTTGGTTTCGGTTCCTGAGCTTTAAATTGAAAGAGGATTTCCCAATGTCGCTACAGCAGAGCGACTTCAGTCCCTGTGCGGTCCCCTTCCCCCTCACCCCCTCCCCCAAATTTCCTGCTCCTTGAGGCTCTGCGCACAGATGAGCTGGGATGTTGACATCATCTGGCTGGAAAGTCCATTGGGGAACTTCCTTTATATGGCCTCGACCTCCATCCCTAAGATTCCTGTAATTTGGAGTACCAATGATGGAAGCGGCCTCAAGATTGTCTTGGGTTTTTTTTTTCTCTCCTCTCTCTCCTCTTCCCTCTTCCCTCCCTTACTTCCTTACTTCCCTCCCTTTTTTACTTTTTCTTTTGTATTTGTTTTGAAAGAGTCTTACTCTATCACCCAGGTTGACTTCCTGGGTGATCCTCCTGTCTCCACCTTCCAAGTGCTGGGATGACCGACTGGAGCCACCAGGTCTGGCCATGATTGTTTTCTGTGGTGGTTGTTGCAGAGCTGCTGGCTCACCTGTGGTGAGGAGCTAGTTGCAATGCACCTCTGCTCAGGACAGGAGGAGAGAGAGTCTCCTTGTGGCTCTGTTCCTTAAGCCCATTTCTCTTTTGCATGACATAAATTGTGAATTGTTTGTTTCCTACTCAAGCCAATCTTCCCCAGAAATCTGATTACTGAAATCTACCTTTCATTTCTGACAGGTAGAAAACCTAGTTTTCAGCTCTGGGACAGATTTCACAAGACTTCCCTCTATGCCTTGTCTCTTGATAAGGAGATTTTGAAGAGGAAGGGAGTAGATGAGCCTTCACTTAACTGAATGCTCCTTCAGAGTATCACCTGGATTGACCACGTTTTGTTTAAAAATGAAAGTCAAATATACAAAAATACATAACTAGCTTTAATTTCAGTTATCTGACTATTGTTACAGAAAAACTAATTGACCATTGTTGAAATTTATAATCTGTGAATGAATATCTTTAGTCCATTTAAATAACACCTAAGTAGTCTCATAATTACCATGCTATATAAATGATAGACTACAAGACCTAAACATTTCATGTGTAAACAATTACTTCAAACCTTATACCAACACGTTTAGAGGGAGTCTAAAAATGAGCATTTTTTTTTTTTTGGCCGAGAATCACATCTTTGTTCTTTCACTGAAAACCTTTTAAAATTGATAATTTATCCTCTTGCCAGTATGAAAACTAAAAGTAGTAGAATATTTAATAGGAACATATAAATATGGTGTGATTTCTTACAGAGAGGGAAAAACCAAGCCCAGACTTTACTTTTCTTTACTAATGAAGGTCACAGATTCTTTCTCAATGTCTCTCTTTTCAGCTTCTTCACTTTCCTTTCAAGTAATGTCCATAATGAGCTAAGAACGTCACCACAACGGCAATGGAAAGAGGAATCTATTTATTGATAACATAAAAACAAAATAACATTAGATATTTTTTCTTTGTCTTCTTTTTTTTTTCCTTTTTTGTGTTACTAGGGATGAAACTCAGGGCCTCATATACACCAGGCAAGTGCTCTACTTCTGAGCTACATCCCTAACCCCAACCCAAAATTCTATTTTTTATATTAAATAAATTGCAACTATATTTAATAAAATAATGTAAATTTTATATTAAAGTTACCTTCATACTGTGGTAGGAAGGCAGGGAGGGGGAAGAGAGATTAATGAGTGCTACAGTGAAACAAAGACAAAACTGAATTGGGGAATGTTACCTGGAGACCAGAGAAGGGTCACCTTGCCCCAGAGGTTAGAGTGACCAATGCAATGACATGTGACTATGTACGGGACAAGCTGTACTCTCCTCCCATTTCTGTAACCTGCTCTAAATGGTATATAAGGAAAGCCCCCTTTGTTCTTGGGGCTCAGCCATTGGACTAGAGTCTGCTAAGTCGCTGCCGGCTTGCTTAATAAACCTGCTTCCTGAAAGCTTTGGTGCCCTCTCAGTCTCTGAGCCTTCCTGTAACAACAAGGCTTTAATTTTGTAATAAAATGCAAAATTATAATTCAAAGCAGTTTTCCATAGAAAATTTTATTTCTAAATGTAAAAACTATATATCCTTTCTCTCCAATTCACAGAAAATATTTTTTAAAATGTACAAAGAGATATGTAAGTTATTGATACAGAAAATAAACTCTTATTTGAAAGCAAAACCATGCAAGTGGAGCTATAGACATCACAGGTTTGAAGAATTTCAGTAAAGAAAAGAAAGCCATTAGGTCTTCCTTTTAAATAATCTTAATCAGTATGCAGTCCTTAAGTTTTCTGAAGAGTGTCATCCATCAACTACCAAACTCCTGATCTTTGTTTCTGGTCACCAGTGTGTTCAAAAAACATGAAATCCTGCATAAAACCAAAAATAAGTATTCAGCCACAAAACAGATCAATTCTCAGATACAGAAAGCTAAGGGAACTTATCACATGGTAACACATCTGTTACTCAAGGAAAACTGAATGCAATCATAAATCTGGGAATAGTCTATAGCTCTATAAACTCTGCTTTCACCTTTCCATTATAATAATCAAATTTTACATTTCTCCTTATTTATCAATACCTGTATAAATTCATGTACTTACTTACAATTACTTATAATTTCTCTAAATATCACTTTTTTTCAACCTTCTTGAAATCTTTCCTTTTAACCTTTCTTCCTCAACTTTTAGTAGCCCTCCTCTAGTAACACCACTTCACTAGTAACAGTAGTTCCACATACAGCTTTAGATTGGGGAAAGAATGACAACCATTTCAGTCACAGTCACATGCACTGCAGGTGGAACGCCTTGTTTCAGGCTCATCAGTTCTCTGTAGCTCTGTCTACTGAGATCCCAGCTTGTCTCCTCCATCACTCTCTAACTAGACTCTTCCTTTTAAGACTTCAGTCAAATCCTGTGGATTTTACTTCTGTCTCATCTATCATTGTACTTTACCTCTTCAACAATAACAATTTATCCTTTTTGCCAATCACTTGCATTGCACTATTGCAATTTTACCTCTTAATCCATTTCCTACATAGTCACCAGGATATACCTTTGTAAAATTTGTATTTAATTATGCCTAGTGTTATACCATCCAGTTAAGTAAATAATTGTCAATGGCTTAAGCTGTATGTATAAAAAGGTATCAAATCTTCCCCAAAGAACTCAAGAAAATGAACTCTGCAGAATGCATAGTCTAAAATCTCTCTTGTGAAATACATAAATTCTTCAGACAGAAATGGGAAACCTGTCTATCCAAAGTGTCAGGATCAAATGGAATTTCAGAGCTAGGATTAACTGAGAATCTTTGTATAAAACCTAGTGATTTAAGAAGGTCACTATGGAATGCACAATTTACTGAATCCTTCAGAAAGACAATAGAGAAACCACCTACAACAAGATTAGTGAGAATTCACTTACAATAAGGAAACAAGCGCCAAGCATCACAGCTTTCATTTTCACATCAAGGTCTAATGGAAACTGGATCCCAAAATTGTCCGCGTCCGTGAAGGCCTCTCTCACAAACCCAGACCAGTGCTTGGAAATCCTGCCAACTACAACCTCTTCATCAAGAGATTTAATCTATGGTAAAAAAATAAGGTCTTAAAGATCTCTCAAAAATTTATAGAAAAGCTACCTTCAGATTTAGAGTACAATGAAACAAATACGGTGTTAAAATTATGGCCCTATGTAACTATGAACCTATATATATATAATAGGTTCATTCTGTGAACAAATTACATGAAAAAAGTTTTCTGAAATATTTATCAATTATTTGAACTGATCCAAATCTAACTTTAAGCAGAACAGGTTAAATATCTAACGTGTTTCTTTGATTAAATTTTAGAAGCCATAAGGAAGACAATAAATAAAACTCTTATTAGATTTTTGCTTTAGGAGAAGCACACGATTTTTATAGAATGAAAGTTTAAATGTGATGGAGGAAGGGCTTATTTCCACTCTCTGTTAAGAGGGAAACATGAGATGTTAAAAGAGCAAAGAAATGATTGGCAGGTTGACTGAAAAGTTACCAATAAGCAACTAGGTGGGTGTTCCTAGGTCAAGGTTTGGGGGTCAGCCCAGCTCACTAGGGGGCTGTGAATCATAAAGAACAAAGGTGTATGAAGCAAAGAGTGCAGAGTGCAAAGGTTCTGACTCTATGGCTCTGCCTGAGGAACATCAAGAGCCATCACAAAGTCGAACAAATTGTACCCATATGAAAGTACTCCTCAAGTGGGCAGATGGGGGCTGGATGTAGCCGCCACTCCTCACACTATGTACACACAGGATTGTGTTAAAGAAGGTGGAAGTGCGTCCTTTCCACATGGACATTAGGTACCACACATGCTAGCAACACCCTTTGAAGCCCCTGCCTCATGGGACCCACTTTTTCCACAGGGGAAACTCAGTTGACCCATTTTATTTGTGTGGATGTGGATGGGATATGAGAAATCCTAAATTATACTTCCATTATGCAGTTGTTATATCACGGGTTACTCTCCATCAATATTCACTTCATTCCTCTCCCACTGTAGGTCCTCCTGCTCATTGATAATTAGCTTTGGCCAAATGATTTATTGGACCAAAGGGTGTTAGCAGGTGACCCAAATGGTGTTCTTCAACAAGAACTAACTGGACTAGCTCTTGCTGTTCAGTGAAAAGCTAGTAGAAAAGTTCATCCCATTAGCTGCTGTTGTTATAGCCCTAGGACACATGCACCTGGGTGAGACATGAGGCCAACTTGCAGCCTACATCAGTCATGAGGGTGGGCCTAGGAATGTCCACTGAAGCACAGCTGACCTGCATACCCATGAGCGTGAGAAAAAATGCTCACTGCTTAAGCCATTGAGACTTAGTGGTCATGTGATGTGTGACACTATTGTGATAAGTAGGCCAACAAAGATCGTCCCTCCACTTGTAGTGTTCTATCTACAAGCACTGCCATTTAAGTGTTAGAAGCTAATAATGAAAACTTTGTATTTTATAATTTTGAAACACTCCAAGATGAAAAGTGAAGATGCCAACTTTTCAGCCACCCTAAAGCTAATATTATGCCAAAAAATATATTAACATTTACTATTTTGTTTCTTATGTTAAAAATTAACAATTAACCACAGCTTATGTCAAAAGTAGAAAATGTAATTTTTATGCTGAGGATCAGAAATAAGATGATTTAGGACCCAAAAGTCCTCAGGACTCAAAAAAACTTAGCTAAATTCTAGCCAATATTTTAAAATAGGAAATTCTTATAGTAAGAAATTTCAACCCTGAGATAACAAACTGGAATTGGATTAATGTTAACATTTTACATCTGTCAGTTTAACACCTGAAATTAGTAAAAAACATTCTAAAAGGAAATCTTAAATTGATATCACCATGTACATATATATTTAAAAAAATAGAAGAATAACATACAGAACATAGACCATAGTTACACATTAAAGGAATATAGCAAAGTGTAACATACGGTGGTTGAGTGGTGGTTGATATTATATATATTTACTAGTAAAGCATTTACATAGCTTTTAGTAAGTATATTGTACTTGCAATTAAAGATCTACTTCTCTCTCTTATAATCAACCTTGGGGTAACTGTCTCACAACTTCTGTACACTAAAAACTGTTAACTTTCTCCTGTTCATACCTAAGATCCAACATGACCCAAATACAAATCACTAGTTTCCCCCAAAATCAACATTTTTCCCAAGATTCTTTGTCTTTACTTTGTTTCTGAAATTTTCTTTATTCAAATTTTTTATTATTATATTCTTGCTGTACTGGGGGTACATTGTGATGCTTACAAAATTGCTTATAATATATTGTAATTAAATTCACCCCCTCCATCATTCTCTAACCTTCCTCAGTCTATTTGAAATAATTTCAAAAAAATCTCATTTTTCCATTTTTATACATAAGTACATAATATTTCTATCATATTCACCCTCCTACACCCTTTCTTTATATCCTCCTCCCTCTCACTGATTCCAACCCCTGAACAGGAACTGTTTACCTTCTTGTCATCCTTTATAGAAAAAAGACATTTTTGTTTGTTTAAGATAGCTCTACAGAGAATTTCATCATTTCCATGTATGTATGTATTGTATCCCCCAAGATTCTTAACTTGGCCAATAGTACCGTTTACCATTCAGGGTCTTAAGAACTAGACATCAAGATTATAAGAAAACAGAATCTCTAAATTCTTTCATTCTCAATTAAAGATAAATGCATGAATTAATCTCATTTGGCACAGCTATGATATATATATATATATTTGTTTGTTTGTTTGTTTTTTGGTAGTACTGAAGTTTGAACTCAGGGCTTCATGCTTGCTAGGCAGGCACTCTACACATTGAGCCATTTCACCAGGGTTTTTTGAGATAGGGTCTCAAGAAATAATTGTCAGGGGCTGACTTTTAACTATTATCCTTCTGATCTCTGCCTCCTGAGTAGCTAGGATTATAGGTATAGGCCACTTATGCTTTGTCGTGAGATGTATCTTAACCTATTCCTTCCTTGGAATGACTCCTGCTCTACTGGGGTACTGGGCTTCATGCCTATTGTACTGGGGTACATGCCTATTGGTATGGGAATTATCTGACTGATAATTCATGCTTCAATGTGTCAAAATATTTTATCATAAACACTATAGAAAACAGTGACTACTTCCCAACACTGTCTAAGATTGTGCCTAGACATCATCATTCTAGATGCATAGGAAATAAATTAATTAATTGCAGTACAAGATACCCCCTGCTTCTTCCGTTTTTTCGCTAATATCCTAAAAAATTATAGCTGCTCATCCTTTTTTTTTAGATGATGTGATACAATCCTTATGTGGTGAAGTGGTAACGAAGAAGTAAAGGTGTAGACATTGTGTTACAGCATGAGCATACTACATAAGGGTTACTTGAACGAACACAAGAACTGAGATAAAACAGTAGTCAATTACAACTGACTGCTACTAAGAATGCTACAAAGCCATTGGCTCAATGGGTAGGTAGCAGGCATTGGAAGGATACACCAGAAAAAAGGAAAGACTCGTGCCCAGGCTGGATGGAGCAGGACAATACAGGAATTCAAAGACACTACTTATAATATCATGTAATTGAAAATTTATGAACTGTTTATTTCTGGAATAATCCAGTCAATATTTTCAGGTCACAGTTGACTGTGATAACTGTGGAAAGTGACACTGTAGAAAACGAGGGACTTTTGAAATAACCATATGAAAACTGATTTGTGTAGTTGAGGTTTTTGTGGGAATTCAAATGCTACATCTTCTGTACATGGCCTAGAGCACCAGTAGGTGGCAAAGCACCTTAGGGGTGGACCCATGGGCTTGGTCAATCAGACTTAGAGGACAAGGTAAGTGTGCTATTTTAAAATAGACAACACAGTGTCACCACACAAAAATTACTAGTGCTGTATTTTTGCAGTTTTGACTACAAATTGCTGCTTTTTTTTGGATTTAGCATAACCAACACAGACTTTTAACCATAACAGTGACTATCACTCTGACAAAAGTTAAAAATATGAGCACATTATCTGTCTATTGAAATATCTGTACACAACACTTATTTAATACATTTAAAAATTCTATCAAAACATACTCTTCTATTAGGAACGAAAATCCTATAGACATTATGGTATACCTTACCTCAAAATTAATATCTTCACAACAGCTGCACACAACACACGGACCAGCTATTTTCAGAACGTCCTCTCTCTTCTCATTCTGAACTGTAAACTTAGGCAGGCATGGGTGCCAGGTCTGAATAACATAGCCTATTGGGATACCAGGTGGAGCTTGGATTTCTATCTACAAAAGCAAAGGAATACATGTGAATGGAATGCTAGTCACAATGTCTAGCTTCAAAGTAAGGCTGACACTCTTGCTCAGCTATTTTACACACTGCAGTGGTGACTTCACACCCACCTCCTGAAGGCAGCAGGGGAAGCAACAGCTGCTACATCTCAGTGGTCTCTCCATAGTTACGACTTCTTGCCCCAAATTATCAAGAATCCTCAAAGTAAAAGGTCTGGATGCTCCACAACAATTTCGGGTGCAGCAGTCAGTATCTTCTACTGCAAAGTAAACCCTCTGTCCAAGGCTGTTCTTAATTTCATATTTGTTGTTAGTTTCAAAGCCTGTTAAAACTAAAAACACAAAAGGGGAACTCATAACCACCATTATGCTAAGAGTATTGACTCTATCTTAATATATTATATCCAGCTGTGGTAATTTGGATGACACCTCAAGTAGCATGGGAAAGAAGAAAAGGAAAGTTATTTAGAGAAGACTCAGACAAAGGCAGAGGAGGAAGAGAGCTGTTAAAGTAAGAAGAAACTGAGTCTTTAGATGGATAAAAAGACAAGCAGCCTCCTGACTCCATGGACTCTGTCACAAAGGAGACATTGCTGCCCATGGTTGGTGGAATGCTGCAGGTGGGCTCAGTGGGGCTAGATGGACGGATAAAATGTCTACTTACCAGAAAAAATTTTTGTACATTATCCTGGGATTATACGGTAACTGCTACATTTATAAACTCTAAAATACTACACTGAGTTAACTGGTTTGAGACTTTGTTGTACAAACTATAGTTATGTGTTATATTATGCACTGTGCTTGAACAAAAGCAATGAGATGACTCACCCTCAAGGAAGAGGTGTGAAACAAGAGAAATGGAGAGAGAAGTGGAGCATTGCATAGGGCCCTGGGCAGCCTTGCTCAACCCAGGAGTAGCTGCTCAGAGGTGGGAGATTGGTACTGGATAAGGGATGAGGGTGAGGAAATTTTTGGGCAACTCAGCACTTCAACTCAGAGCATCGAGACCATGGTCATGCTAAGTGATTTGTCTCTTGCAGGGCTGACGTGTTCATGGGAGACAGAGGGGTGCTAAATGATGATATCCAATGGCATCTTACCAATGGCCTCCTCATATTGGTCCCCACACTGGATCCCCGACTTTTGCAGAGCAAGAAAGGAGCAATGTCCAAAGACGAAAGATAATTGGTTCATAGTGTCAGCAGACTGAACAAAATAAGTGATTAAAAGAATCCATGGAATCCAAAATAACTCTCTGATATATGTGTAGAAGGACTCTTAGTAAGAGAAATCCTGTCACCATGGACCCCTTCAAGTGTCCTTAGTGGATTCAGAAAGTCCCCAAACTCTGTCTTTTAAGTGTCACCACTATCTCAACACCTGACAAAGGTCTTTAGATGACAATAATAATAAAATAATAATCTGCTTTGGATAGGTATTTATTATTAAATTTATTGTGTCATTAATACCTTAAACTCAGAAATGCTCAGCTAATTTTTGTGATAAACAACATGGGTTTTATATAATCCCTAAGTTTTATTCTGGTTACTTAGAAAACAAAAACACAACCAAAGAATTCCATGCTTATTCTACTCGTAATATGAAAAATAATAGGAAATTTCAATATAAGTATAAAAACAGAAAGTGAAAAACATTTTTTAAATGAAAAATGGAGGGGTGAATTCAATTATGATATATTTGATATATTGTAAGAACTTTTCTAATTGCCACAATGTACCCACACTGAGCACAGTAAAATTAAATAAATTTTTAAAAAGGAAAAGAAATGAAAATTAAATATTACTATTAAAAATTATTTTTCTTAATTAAAATTGATACTTTATCATTTTTAAAGCTTTTAAGTCTAAAAGAGATAAATGGCACAGTATATAATAAATGGTACCTGGGTATTTGGATTTTATAACATAAAATATATGTTTTCAAAATAAAATATTTTAAAAAATTGGGCAAACAAATTATCAATGAAGAGTTCTAATTGAGAGAATTGTTAGGTAAGAAACTAAACAATATCAAGAAAATTCTAAGTAACAATTTACATTGTAAATGGTTTAGATATAACAGTGATGATTGTACATTTTACCCAAATCAACTGCTCTCCTTGTACAGTTCATGTTCTAATTTCCAGCAATGGAAAGGAACTTTGCAAACAGGTGAAGATTCACTTACAGATATATTCTATAAATCAGCAGAGTTTTCTTACACCCTTGTATCTAGAAGGAAAATATGATGGTTCATACACCCCACCCAGGGTCTCACTCCCTGGCAGCTGTACTGAAGAATCTAGTGTCTTCCTAAGTTTGTTCTTGCGCCTGGAGAGCCCTGGACCCAAGGAGGCCTCTGGAGGCAGCAGACCCACTCAGAGGAGCAGGAGTGAGTGCTCCTGTAAGGAAGCAGCTGCCAGAGTTGCTGGTTAGCCTCCTCCAACATGGCAGTGCCCTGCACCCCAGGTGGTAACTCATGGCCCATGGGACTCAGATTTTATAGGGCTCACCTGACCTCCTAGGAGAAAATGTGAAGACAGTCGATCATTTTCCTAAACGTCCCCACCCAAACTCAAAAAGATCGCTCCTTTTGGAAATGTACAGAGGTAGCTTGCTGTGGCATGTGGTTCTGGGCCATTCTCCAGGTGCTCAAAAATTGGGAGAAAGCAGTAGTTTTAGAAGTCAGGTAAAGTGACTGTAGAGAGGGGAGAAGTCAGGTAAAGTGAAGTGTAGAGAGAGGAGGAAAAGTAAGTTTCATCTGTCTTCCTTCTAAGTTACTGAACATACTTTGAGACCCCTAATTCTCAGTAACGATCATGTTCACATACCTTCCAGCAGCTCAATTTGCTGATGAACCAGAATCTGGTCTATCTGTTGTGGCAAAGAGAAAATTAAATGATGTGATCAATTACCAATACTTCATATTACCTACATTTAATAGCTCTTATTTCTTTTTAGTGAAAAATTAAAGCTAATATTTTAAGTGGTAAGGTATGTATTGTTGAAATCATTCACTAGTAATGAGAGAAAATATAGGTCAAATAAAATTGATTTACACTGGAATTGCTATAAAAATTATAAAGCACTATTCTTTCTAAAAGAGGCTTGAGAAATAGTTACATTTTAAAAATCCATTTGCAGTTTATTTCTACAATTAAAAAAATTTTTAAGTGTACTTCATACAATATGTTGCATTCTCCTATGTATTTTATCACATCCTTATTTTAAAAAATACCTATTTTAAATCAGTCATGAAGAATGTAATGACTATATATTCCTATGGTTTGTACTGGTTGAGTGCACTGTGGAAAATTAAATTAGTTCAGAGTGCCAAGAGAGACTCTTGATATACTGAGTATTAGTTGACTATCTCAAGACTATTTATTTATAAATTCACAGACTGCACATTCTTCCTATATGATTTTTTCATGCAAAATCAATATTAAATCCCATGTTGCTGAATTTCACTATTATGTAGGAATTCTGTCATTTTTTTTCCCTTTTAGGTGGCATTTATAAAATTGGCTTTTCCAAACAATAAATCAGTACCATAAATATGTAGGTTTATTGGTTATAAAAAGGTGAGTTATATTATACACAAGATATTAGCTCTTTGGTACCACTTACTGAAATGCAACAAAATGCTTTATACAATGTTTCTTTAGAATTCCAAAGATTTGATGTAGGTATGATAGAGTTCTGGACTAAGTACTAATGACCATATTAAAAACCCAACTCTAATTCCTTAGGAAGGGCATGTAGCTTCTTTGGACCCCATTTTCCTCTTCTGAAAAATGGTAGTAGTTTTCAAAGTCTACATCATAGATTCGTCTATAGGAAGTAAATGAGATATACAATGTACTATACATCCTCAGGAGGATGAATGAAAACTGTTTAATAAACATTAGCCATTAGCTACACCATAGGTTAAATTCATTATCACAGAAAACACAATTACCTCATATTTACATTTTGCTTAAAAAGTAAACCTAACCTAGAACTAGAATAATCTATTAGCAAAAAAAAAAAAAAAAAGTTGTTTATCCATTTCAGACTTTGGTGAATTATTCATTTATATTCATTTACTATTCTAATTAAGAAAACTGGACGCTCTGTGTTTTTGTTTATGATCACTTTATGTGCTTGAAGTTACCTGACTTAGGTATTCCAATCCAGGTGGGCAGTTTAGTGGAGGTGGTGGCGCTGGCATCCATGCTATCCCTACAGGCCCCACTGGCTGGTTATACACTGGCTGACCTTGGACAGGAAAGCCAGCTGGACCAGCACCTGCATAACTAGCTTGTGGGACTGGGTAGCCAGGCTGGGGCCCTGGATAGGCACCCTGGGGCCCTGGGTAGCCAGTGTATCCTGGAGGTCCTGAAATAGGAGCAAGTGAAACAAATAGTAAATACACACACACACAATGGACTCATCACCCCATTTAGTGTTACCCTGCTATCGAAAGCTGACATCTCAACTCAGAAATCCTGTGTCTATGACATTTAAAGTATGCTTTATCTCTCAGGGATTTTTCATTGCAATATCTCTGATCTCTAACCTACCTCTACATTGAGGTGGCATGCTATGAATACTGATAGCACATGGCCTTTCTTTTAAAAACTGTGATGGAAAAAAATGATGCTATCATAGCTGAAAATGTGAAAGAACATCAACTGTGACCTGGAGTCACCAGCATGAACATTCTGGCAAGCCTTCATGGAAGAGGTGGTGTGGGGAAGAAGACTCAAAATAAAGGCTGTGAGTCAGAAATTCAAGGACCGAAGCACCCTGACAAAATAATTCCAGGGTTTTAGCAAATTCTGCACAGACCTGAGAATGGTACTTTCCCTTTTTACCCCAGTGACTTTCAGAAGACTATGAAATGTTTATTCCTCTGACTGGGGGGAAGGGTGATGCAGACGTCTGAAATGTAGAAGCCAGGGACTCTGGTAAACTTCATAAAATGCCCAGGACATAAGTGAAAACAAGGGATTGTCCAACCCAAGATATCCTGAAAGAGGTAAATGTATATTATTGTTCTCTGAGACAAAGTACAGTTGATTATTTCTCAAATGAAATATTAGGTATATAGAATTAATCTATAATAGTTTCATATATAAGAAGCCAAATGATTCAACCTATCATGAATGCATGAGCTAGCAAATATTAGTCTTTATTATTTGCAATCCATTATGCTCAGTACATTTAATCTCTAAAATAACCTAATGGGAAAATATTATACCTAATTATAGGTAAGAACACTAAAGCTTTGGGGTACTGTAACTTGTTTAAGACTACCACATAACTATTTAATACAGAACACAGAACTCAAAGCCACATCCAAATTCTCAATGCTTCAGTTTATCCTTATGGGCAATGAAGATAATAAAATAGTACAGAAGTACCCAGGTGGGATACATTCTAGGATTCTCCTTGGATACAAACACCCAAGGATGCTCCAAGTGCCTTATATAAAATGGTGCAGTATTTACACATGACCTATGCATAAACTCCCATATAAAGAAAATCAGCTGTAGATTATTTAAAGTAGCTAACACATTGTAAATACTATGTGAATAATTGTTACACTGTATTGTTTAGGGAATAATGTAAAGAATAAAGTCTATTCATATTCAGTACTGATACAATTTTTAAAAAATTGGTGATGACCTTTGGTTGAATCCAAGGATAAAGATATAGGGTACTGACTATACTTATAGCAGTGTTCTGAGATCAGATGACCCAATCCTTTTGATTTCCCCATACAATACCTACAGCACGGCAGGCTCTCCATGTTAAGCTATCATCATTGTTGCCATCATCGTCATCTCAAGACCTATGCTATCTGTTGCCTTGGACTCGAGAAACAATACCAAGCTTTCCTACTATCAAACTCTCATGTCTGATTCAATTTTGTATACCTAGTTTAATTAGCTGTGGGGTGGATCAAATCATTCTTTAAGTGCCTTGGATGAACATCATAGAATTGTTGTAATAATTCTCCAAACATCAACTCTATAGAAATGTAGAGCAGCCATTCTCAACCTGGCTGCTAGGTATTAAAGTTATCAATCCCTAGCTGGGTGCTGGTGGCTCACACCTATAATCCTAACTACTCAGGAGACACAGATCAGGAGGATGGTGGTTCAAAGCCAGCCTGGGCAAATAGTTCAAACTACCCTATCTTGAAAAACCCAACATAATAAAGGGCTGGTGGAGTGGCTCAAGTGGTAGAGTGCCTGCCCCACAAATATGAGGCCCAGAAATCAATCCCCAGTACAACAAAAATAAATAAATAAATAAATAATAAAAATAAAAAGCTATCAATCCCTGAGTTCAGAGGACTGACTTAATTTTTCTGGGATGCTGCCTGTACTAATGTCTGTAAGTGACAGGTAAGTGCTGCCTGGACTGAAAACTACCACCCAAGGGCTTTGGAGCTCACAAACTCATATTCCTTAATTCCAAAGATCTGCTCCAGGCCTAGGACCCACTTGGAAGTTTCTAAGACAGTTTAACAGGCCACTCAGCTCCCTTGCAGGTTTGTTTACTCAGAGAAGAAAACAAAATGGGAACACCCTTCCATCCAAACCAGACACCTTTGATCCTAAGTCCCAGGGTTTTCTTTCCAAAGCTGGGCTCTCCATAGACCCTACTGTTTATAAAGCTCCAGTAATGTTAAAAACTTCATTTGTCTAAATTAATTCTTTTATGCATTATTTAAAGACAAGGCATACTTCCTAGTATGTAGTGATATGATTCACCTACATTTTTCAGAAATACAAAGCATGTATCAGCAAGTATAGAAAACAAAGCTTTGATATGTGTCACAAAATGAAAAAGATGAGAATTGTTTTAAGTTAGCTACATTACTATTCCTTGCACCTTCCAGTGTCTATCCAGACTTAGCATTTTGTGTCACTATCACTGAACACAATTAATTCCTAATACTGCATGACTGAAAAAAACAAGGATCAGTTTCCTAAATGTCATTATGTGAACACAATTATCAGAATAAAATGCTTTATTTGGTATCTGTATTTCCATGCAGCCTTATATTTCAATGCTAAATATAAACTCACTATTGATTTGCCAACTATCATTTACTCCTTTACTGTCCTCAATAAATTAAAATAACTTCTATTGCCAGGTTACTAGTGGCTCATGCCTGTAATCCTAGCTACTCAGGATGCAGAGATCAGGAGGACTCTGTTTTGAAGTTAGCATGAACAAATATTTTGTGGAACCCTATATCAAAAAAGCCCACCACAAAACAGGGCTGGTGGGCTGGCTCAAGGTATAGACCCTGAGTTCAAACCCCAGTACCAGCAATAAATAAACGAATAAAAATAAAATAAAATAAAATTACTTCTATGGAAAGTATGTGCTCCAAAAGAAAATTAAGAAGAGCTAGGAAGTCAAAATTTCTTTAATGCAATTTAAAAAACTTAATGACACAAACACACATACAACACACACACATCCTCTTTTTCCTCCTCTTTTCCTTTGGAGTATCAATTGATCAATGCTGTTTTTTCTTGTTTAGCCAGATGTCTTACCCTGGAATGCTCCTGGTGTGTACTGAGGGGGATATCCGGGTGGCACATTGGATTCTGAGTGAAGAGTATTTGTTTCCATATCTGCAATTCAGCGAGAGGTAAATATATGTCTGCTCAAAAAATATATTCATTACAAAGAAGAATTGCATACTACTTAAGTTTCACTTGTGTGGTTTGATGCTGCATCAAAATAAACATGGTAAATTCACTTAACAAATGTGCCTGTTATCAACTAATTTGCAGTAGGACCTATTTCAACATAAGATGCAGTTTAATGAATTAAAAGTCAGTGTTTGCATTGTGGAAATTCATCTTATAAGTATCTTATAAAAGTCATAAGACTGTCACATAGCCATAAAGGTATGTTTTTTACTTCTCTCTCTCTCTCTCTCTCTCATACTTATATACATACTTACATACATCTATATATCTATCTATTTACAGAAACATATACATATAAGCAATATGAAACTGAAAGATAAAAAGTGAATGAAACCATGGACATATAAATCTTTTTAAGTTGAGGCGAAGCATTTTAAAGTTTCTAGCATATAAAATGACATAATTCTATATGTTTACATCTGAAGAGTTTTAGTTTTATTTTACTAGAAAAATTAAGAATACAAGTCATTAAGAGAATACAGCAAGAATTCACATGGGAAGGTGAGGTGTCCCGAACGAGATCTAACAAAATGATCAACACTGGCAATGTGGAGAAAAGACTAATCTTTTTTTGCTATCTCAACAAAAGCAAAAGAAAGATAAAGAAAATTTCAGAAAAAAAATGATTTGGTTTTTGATATTTTCCCTGATATGGAGTGTTTTCTCTTCAGAACCTTAAAATTTTAACAAGGCAAAATCTTTTATTACATGCTTAATAAATAGCTTTTTTATTTAAAACTTTCTTGAGAGATAAAAATCTGAGAACATGATTGGTCTTCATTTAAGCCTGAGAACATGACTGTTATTAAATATATATATATCAAGGTATATGTCTGATGATTTGATTAAAATCACATGATGTACTAAATTTATTATTTGTTAATTATGTGACTAAATAGTCCTATGTATGCAAAATGTGCAGCAAAAATAGGAAACTGTTCTTGTTGAAATATAGCATACACATTAAAATATCTTTGCCAATAACCTTACAACCTTTCTCTCAGGCTTCCTTACTATTAAATAAACATTTAGTGTTACTGGATATTTGTGTACGTCCTCTCTACAGCTTAAACACTGAACTGGACATTGGATTTTGGAGCATAAACACAAATTCAGCTGCGTACTTTTAAGAAATGAATAAAACCGTATGACAAATAATTAAACACATCTAATATTACAAGGTGGAAAATGAAATGCCCAAAGTGAATTACTTACTGTGCTTATCCATGATTTATGTAGCGCTGAAAAAGAAGATATGATATTAGCCCATTATCTACAAATTTATAGGTCAAGTATGACTGTTCAAACAAGGTTTCACACTCATGCGATAGTCTCTTCATTCTTCTTGTCTACCCTTATCTAGTCATTTACCCATTTTGGCTTGACTTAAACCCCATGCTGTTATTCTGAGCAGGATTTAGAAGTTGTTAGTCAGCCCACATTGGTGTACACTTTCTAAAAGACTTTGGGGAGAGGGTCCACTGATGAGAAAGTCATGAACACTGTGAGCCTAAGATCCCAACTGTCAGGAAAGCTAAAAAACTGCAGCCTTGACAACCTATACATCTAAAGGAAGCATGTGGTCCAGCTCGCAGACTCTGAATTGGGCTCCAGGGATGGTCCAGCATGATGGCAAGAGAGGTTAATTCTCAAATCACAGTATAAGAATATCTCTAAAATTCCAGCTTACACAGACTGTTCTACCCAACTTGAGCAGCAAATTTGAGAAGACCTAAAATTGAGTTCTGTACATCAAGAACTGCTTTTAACAGAGGTCTCCACATTCAAAGTTCTCTTAGGTGTATCACCGTTGAAAAATACAATGGATACTTTGCATGTGATTATTTCTACAAAAACATAGTAGCCACCAAACATTGTGCTCAGTGCTTTTGCCTTCCTGAACTTTGATCATATCCCAGTCTTTCTTATTATTATTCAGTCACTGTTTTCTCTGTCAACTGTAAATTTCAATCTGCCTGATACCTACAGAGTGCTATTGAAAAACATCAGGCAAAACTTTTACCCAACTGTGTTATCTTGGACCCCCACACCAATATGAATCACTCCTCCCATTCTCAGACCTGCCATAGCACTGGCTGTCCTTTCAATAGTTCCATCCACTGTGCAACCTAAATGGGAAAAAGACATCAACCGACATCTCTACATAGCTAATAAAATCTAGCACTCTCAAATAGAAATCACCTCCTTCCTCTCCATATCAAATTCATTTTTTATTATTTTCAATTCTAATCATAACATTTCATAATCTACTAAAACTCTTTTTGTTCTTTCTTTTTTTCCCTTTATTGTTGTGATGGGTGGGGATACATTGTGGCATTTTACGCAGGTTCTTACAATGTGTCAACTTTATCATACTTGAATTCATCCCCTCTACCACTCCCTTTTATCCTCCCACAGCCAATTCAAGGAAAAATTTCAAAAGGTATCATTTTTGCATCTACATGCATGTGTACACATTTTTTGCAATGTATTCACCCTCCTACCCCCTTTCCCTGCCACCTCCCCCTTTCCCACTGGTGCCAATATTCCATTTTTATCACCTCAGTTATATATACTCAACACCCAAGATACTCAGCAATGTTTCAATAGCTCAGAACAGGTTTGCATAGCCCTGTAATAAGTTTAAAAATTTCTTCATTTTACTGACTTACCTTTCTGGTTCTCTTAGAACAACACAAATACAAGTTTGTATTAACTAGTCAGAAACCAACTTCCATTAATCATAAGGGAAAAAATATTTATATTTATCTACAATTAACTTATAATATGAACAATAAGTTAATAAAATACATAACCATAGTAAATTAATACCTATAGGATCCCAGTAGTGTTTCAGGTTCCATCATATGAGGAACTTTAAAAGGAGACTACATTTATACATACAAAAAGCCAGAATTATTTTTATGAACTGTACATTTCTATTATAAAAGGTATAGAGTAAAAGAAATACCCAGTTTCATAAAATATGCCCGACCATCCTAAAAGACAACTAAAAATTAGAAGTCTGGTAACTTCTGGAGTAGAAATAGGTAAAATCCCTTGTTTGATAATTTAATATTTTGAAATGCATGTCTTTAAAGCATTTATCCATCTCTTGTGTCCTGTTTTTTGTTTGTTTGTTATTTGGTTTTTGTGGTGATGGGATTAAACCCAAGGAATAGTGTATATTAAACAGGCACTGTACTGCTAAACTGCATCTCTAGCTTGACCTCTTTTTCTTATGATATCACTTTGTAATACCTTAGCCCAGCTTAGAAAATGCTGCATGAATCTTAACTAAATTTAACAACAATTTTAAGGGAGTGGAATTTTTAGTCATCTCTACCATATATATAGGCAAGTTTACATTTCTTGCATTTGGGAAAGGAATCTCTGAATTTGAAAAAATTTCCTTAGTGTATAGATTGCGAGTCTATATATCTGAGATGGAAAAATGATATTTGCTTTTGGTTAAAAAGTATTTCTTCTTAGAATTTAGTTGTTTTCAGCTAGGAAGTCCAGTGTAAGCTAGAAATAAAGGATATGTTACCAGGGTGGGGAGTTCATGAACTCCTGCTGTGTTTCAGACCAGGTGGAGCTTAAGCATGGAGAGCTCAAAGACTCCAAGTCTGCCTGGTGAGTACCAACTGAGAACACACACAGTGTCTACCTTTCCAAGGTTAGAGACATTTCCTCCTTACACAGAAATCCTAGAAGGGAAATTGAGTAGATTCTAAGACATTGCTCATGTGTTGATGCTTGCTCCTTTCTTTTTCCTATGTAGTTGAATTATTTTGAGTCTTCAAACATAAGTTAGGGAGAAAGAGCACCTACTGGTAAAACTGCTGCAGAATAAAATCTGGATTCTACTTCATGTAAGTTTGGAATGTAACAATTATATAATATCTCAAGCATTAACAATGGTATGTCATGAGCTCTGGTCAACATGTTAAGTGGTCCTGTACAACCTGTACCTGTATCTGTGGCAATTTAAAATGATCAAAAGAATGCCTGATATATAAAGTCATCTACTAGGTGAATACCTACCCTGTTTGCTTTCTTATAGGTCACTCAGTTTTATGACCCTGGTTGAAAGGATTAGTTAATAATTTTAACACAGTAACTTTTAAATGACAGAATCTACTACTTTTATGAACAAACAAGTTCTAGAAAGACTTCAGGGAAAGGGAAAGAGAAAATCATACTTGTGTGTCCAAAGGGAGAGAAAATGTCTGCAATAAAGTCATACTATATATTGTCCCTCTGGAATCATAATTACTTTAGACAAACATAGGAATTCAAAATATGTTATCAGTACATGTAATGCCTTCCTAAGTATATTACAGGAAAGCCTGGAGGAAATTGAGTCAGCGTATACTATATAAATGCAGTATGTCTCAATCATTCTGTTTAAAATCTTACATCCCCATAACTGTTCTGGGATGTTTGATAATAGGAAATCATTTTCTCCAAGGACAAAGAGATTTCGGGGCATGTCTTCACAATTCATACTATAGTTAATAAAAGTTTTGGGATCCTGACATCTTTCTTATTGATTTCAATACTATTTTTGAAATATCATATAACTACAATGCCTAGAAAATACACATGAACTAGATCTGAGTTAATGGTCTGAAATTATTTGCTAATTTTATAAGAACAAATCCCCTCACTACAACTCACCCTCACACAAGATAAACCAGGTTATATCCCTGTCAGACCCTAAGATGGTGATATATGTTCTAAATTGTTTTAGCAAAACTCTGTTTCTCTAAAAACAGTCACCAGAGTTCTAGGTCTCTAACTTCCTACAATAAGTGAGAATAAGAATGAGACACTATGGTGGGGATGGGGGTGAAAAGAATTGGGAGTAACCAGAGGGGAGATAAAATTTGTTGAGATCAGTTACAAATCTAGTAAATTCCATGTACTTCTGGTTCTGTCCATAGGTAAATTGTGTACATTTAACAATGTTTAGTTAACATCTCTAGAGAAAAACATTTCATCTGTTTGTGGTGTTGGTAATAGGCAGACCAAGGTAGCTGCATTTCCAAAAATAGAAGCAGCAAGGTGTGAGTGAGGATTTGAGTACCCAGTGAAAGTACCTTTGAGATGAGTCAGAAGCAAGCACTATGACAGAGAAGGATTGTAAATGCAAATTTTTCTTGTAACAGGAAGTCTTCCTTTAAAAATCTCCTTCTGTATTTTAGGCCCAAGGAAATAAAACAAACTTGCAACCAATTTAAGACACATTGTTAGAGCATTTTATAGTCAAACCTGAGTAAAAATATAGAGCCTAATCAACTAGGAAGAGCTGAGGTAGCAGTGGCTCAATGTTCTACAAAACTAACAAGGAAACCAGAGACAAAAGAAACAAAACTTATCTCAGAAGCTGGTTATTTTCATTTAATTGTTGTATGATTCCTGGAAAGATTTTGTTGGCAATCAGATCCTTCTTATGTAGAAATGAGGAAACTTGGCCATAAAGGTAAAATGCTTATGTGACGCCATTCAGCGCACTGAGTTCGGAGTCACCATTCATATCCTTTGTCCCTGTTTCATTGGGAAAAAAAGGCTTCCACCTTTCTGTGAAATTGTTACGAAGTATCTTTACTTTTCTTATGTAAGACTTAATTTCAATTTATTCTTGTGGCCATTTACTTTTCCTAAGGCTAGGTAAATTGTTTCTAACCATTTAATGAAACAGACTTTGGAAAACGAAAAGGTCAGTTGTTAATACTCTTTAACCAACATGTTGGCTTTTAGATTGGGTACTTTACTACAATTTAAAAGATTCAATGTCGTGCCACAGACGTGTGTATATTTATGCAAATATTTCCTACTATGAAATATTTATATTCACTTCATATAAATTTGTGTTGTTCTCAAGGAGTATTGATTTAAGGTATATAGCAGGGAAAGCTTGAGCACAACACCTAGGCACCCAAGAGGCTGACAATTTAATTAAGACAATTAAATACATTATGTAACATACTCCAAGTGCTATGAGTAAAAATAACATTCCTGGAAGAAAAGGTTATGGGAGCACTGATAAATATGGTAGTGTTGATGGCAATATAAGGAGAATCATATCAGAGTTAAAGAATGTCTTAAATCAGCCAAACCATAGGATTTTGGGTGTGGGATTTGTGTAGAGTAGAAGTGTCAGGTAGAAAGTCCCAAGATCAGAAGTATCTCGGCTCATTCAAGGTGATGAAAGATCTATGAGCTACAGAACAGT